CATACGTATCCAACATTCCAATTGACCAGAGTTGATTTGTCCTCAGTCGATCTGCATAACAAAGAAAGAGGAAACTGATCTGAAAGATAATACTATGAAGCTGGATATTAAAAAAGAACTAAAACCAGAAGTATTGCACAAGTAGTAAACCACTAGCAGCAACCACTAATCCTGATCTGGAGTCCAAGTACTGACAAAAGAAAAGGCTCGGTAGAAAGAGAGGCCAAGAAATTTTGGTATCCTCAATATTTCTTCCCTCTAGAACCATGGTGCTCTAGTCAGACAAATACCCCTTAAGATCTTTAATATAGATGTGACTTCTTCAAAGAATTTAAATTTACAAGGCTTGAAGCCAATCGTATATTATTAACAAGAGACACTTAAATTTAAGGACATAACTGGATAAGGAGATATAAGATGGAAAAAAATGAAAGAAAAGCTTGAGTTATTATAATAATATCAGATAAGGCAGGAGTGGAACGGGGATAAAGCAAGCAAAGCGTCAGTCACATACATGAGAAAGTGTCCTCAGAAATAATGCATCTGATGGCTACAAAACAGAAGAAGACAATTCCTCCCCGTGTTGTGTAAGTATTAAGTACCACGAGTGGTTTTTTTTTTTTTTACTCAATCTTGGTTCTTAAAGACAAAATAAATACTAAAGCAAGAGCTATTATTATACAAAAATTAATATTTCATGATGATATAAGGATTGTACTCTTAAATTTGTATGTCCTCCAGAACTTCAAAGCAAAAATTGCCATAGTTTACACACACACACACACACACACACACACACACACACACACACAGAGTCAGTAAAATCTATAATCATTGATGGATATTTTTATCATAATACTCTTAGTAACAAATAGAACATACAATATAGCATTGAAATTGGAATAACAGTCTAAATAATATCCAAGTCATATTTCTAAAATATTACATGTTAGCAATTATATATTAGCAATTATAGAACACACATTTCAGTCATAAACTATTAGCCAAAATAGAATACATTTAAATAATAAAGCAATTTGAAATGCATTTTTTAAACCTGAAATTATACAGAATATGTCATCTAATCATAACAGAATTATGTGAGAAATAAAAAGGAAGCTGGCCCTGGTGGCTCACATCTGTAATCCTAGCTACTCAGGAGGCTGAGAATTATAGTTCAAAGCCAGCCCACGCAGGAAAGTCCATGAGACTCTCATCTCCAATTAACCACCAGTTAACTGGAAGTAGTGCTGGGGCTCAAGTGGTAGAGTGCTAGCCTTGAGCTGAAGAGCTCAGGGACAGTTTCCATGCCCAGAGTCCAAGCCCCAAAACTGACAAAAATAAAAACAGGAAAAAAAAAACAAGGAAAAAAATAGGAAATGCCCAAATGTTTAGGAATTAATGGGCATACTTTTCAATATCCAATAATTCAACAATGAAAGGGAAGTGGAAATATAAAATACAGTAAAGCTAATGATAAAAATTAAATTTAAAATCAAATGGGTTTACAACAGGCTTCAAATCTAGTCACAACAATGATCTTTGGACCACAATACAAATGAAATTCATTTTATTATGGCTGCATTATATTCTACCTTTTGGGTAGGACCTTAATTTGTTGGTAAGGTAATATTTAACTACATTATGGAAAAGAATTCTACCCTAAGCAACAAAACATATATTTTATGTCATTTATAACTCAATCCAATTGATTTGAAATTTTAAACCAAATCTTTGCATAAGAACCACAAAGAACAGCACAATTTCTGAACATTCTACTACTGGACATGGGCAGATACTCTTATAAAAATGTTTTGTTGCTTTTTTATTATATGTAAATTTATGTGAACATACACCTAAATATACACATATATTTTTGAAAACACAGAAAGTCTGTATTCCACAAATATTCTATTGTCCCCAAAATATGTATCCCACTGCTTTCTATTTCTGGGCTTTTGAATTTCCTTCTAGAGAATCTTAAAATGGGATCGTGGAGTATGAATTATTTTGAGCTTGGCTTCTTTCACTCAACTTGAATGTTTCTGCAAGTCTTTTTTTTTGTTGAGTAGTATTCTGTTCTAAAGATATGCTATAATTTACATATCTACTCACCTACTGACAACGCTTTTATTGTTTCTATTTGATATCTACCCAAATCTCTTTGCCCAAATCAATCATGTTGAAATATTTTAATATTCCTATGTATGTGGACTTTTCTGCCTGGCCAGATTTGAACCATGATCCTCAGATTTTAGCCTCTTGAATAGATAGGATTACAGATGTGAGCCACTGGCACCTAGCTCCCAGGGCTGTTTTCTTAAAGAAATACCAATACTATTGGAACAAAAGAAGCACCTCTATTTGAGTATAACCCTATAACAACTAACTGTAACATTATTTCCTAATGAGGTCACATTCTGAGGTACTTTGTGGATAGAAGTCCATTTAATCAAAGGGAAAAGCAGATTAATTAGGTAAGACATCCATGAAACACAGACATAACAAAGATGTCAAAGTCAACGAAAAATATAGAGATGAATATTTAGCAAATAATTTTTTTTGTTTGAGAATAAAGACTGGATTGCAATCCAGTATACATATGTTAAGAAGACTGTGAAAAGGAATCTTAAAGTCATACTTGGTAGGGCTGCCATTCATAGAAACAGTCTTTCTTTAAAATTTAGGCTTTAATATTGGATGGATTCTGTGCGCTAATTTCTTGAACAATTCTGTGTGGTCTCAGTGCTTTCTTCTCTTTCCTGTGGCCTCAGATCCCATTTTATTTAGTAGGATGTGACAGGAATGATTCCACCTTACATAATAAATTTCCAGTTATACCACAGATTAGTAAATACAGGTGCAAACATTTTAGGAATAATTTTTAAAATTTCAAATTGATAACTTTATTTGGATTTTAATTCAAATTGAAGCAGAAAAGCACAATCAAAACTTCAGCCTTGACATTTCTTCTTAGCAGAAACTAAAATTTAACGTTTGGAATGAACATTATTTTTGTTCATACATTGTTAAAATTATCTGTTAGATCACTCTACTGAAATATTTAAAAATAAGATACCTTCCATTTGTTTCCATGTAGTGAGAAATAGGTGGAAATAGGCATAAAAATGAATCTAGATGAGATATAGTGTAATAGCTCCCTCTACTTTAAATGTTTTTATAATAAATTTATTGAGTTGTATACCCAAGAATATACTGTGTTTTCATTTACTTAAATGTATTGTTATAGCTTTGGGATGGTTTGAAAGCTTGATTCTTTTATTTTTAAATTTGCTTCTATAAATTTCATGTTTTTATTTGCTATGAAAGCAGCCCAGGCAGGAGAGTGTTTGAGACTCGTGTCTCCAATTAATCCCCAGGAACCAGAAATGGAGCTGTGGTTCAAGTGGTAGAGCACTTGCCTGGCCCTAAGTTCAAAACCCAGAACCAACATTATAATATTCTTTTTTTTTTCTGTCGTGGGGCTTGAACTCAGGGCCTGGGCTCTGGCCCTCAGCTCTTCAACTCAAGAAGAGTGCTCTATCATTTGAGCTACAGCGCCACTTCCCAGAAGCAACATTATAAAAGACAAAATGATAGACTTTTTTCAATTCTGTTTCTTTCTCTTTCCACACTGTAAATAATGTCATATGGTATACTAAGTTGCATTTTTGTGTTTACCTTGTCCCTCCTTTCTTGTTACTAATAATATCATGGGGCTTAGAATGTAGCAACTGTCCATTAATGCTGGTACAAATTACCATTATACCTAAAAATCTGAGTTGAACGCTTACTTTAAAAATCGGGTAGGAAAGCCAGGTGCCAGTCCCTCATGCCTGAGGCTGAGATCTGAGCATCCTAGCTGGAAGCTGGCAAAGCAGCCATTAGGTTCTTGAAACGCTTTTCTCCAATTAAGTACAATAAAGCAAAAAGTGGAGCCGTGACTTATATGGTAGTGTTCTTGAACAAAAAAGCTGAGAGACAGAGATCATGCTCTGACTTCAAGCCCCAGGGCTGGCACAGACACAACACCCACCCACCTGCTATCTATAAAGCCAATAGGTCAACAGCAAGTTGACTTATTGACACCAGGTTTGACTCTTGCTTAGGTTCTTTTTTTTTTTTTTTTTGTCGGTCGTGGGGCTTGAACTCTGGGCCTGGGCGCTGTCCCTCAGCTCTTCAGCTCAAGGCCAGCGCTCTACCACTTGAGCTACAGCACCACTTCCGGTTTTCTGGTGGTTTATTGGAGATGGGAGTCTCACGGTCTTTCCTGCCCGGGCTGGCTTTGAACCGCGATCCTCAGATCTCAGCCTCCTGAGTAGCTAGGATTACAGGCGTGAGCCACCAGCGCCCGGCTCATTGCTTAGGTTCTTAGCGGTACATTTTACTAATAGTAAAGAAAAATGTGTCTTTGCACTTTTAGACAAATCACACTCACTGATGAGTATATGAATTCGAACAAAAGTGTTGACCTGAAGGTCCTATCGGGAGTTTCAGAGCTGTTTGCAATGCAGTAGAAAGGCACAAGTCCTCATTCTGGTCATTGCCTTGAATGAATAAACATCTCAAAGGAACTGGCTTTAAAAGGAAGTAGAATGAAAGAATAACGCTCAAGCCTGGCCTTGCTTGGGGAGACCTCAAAGCCTAAAGCATCTTTATTCTACCTCCTCCTCCTTTCACAGAGGGACAGACCGGAACTACATTTCCCAGAATTCATAGCGGAGAGGCAGGGCTAAAGAGACTCTACCTGTAATTGGCCTGCAGAGCCTCAGGTTTGATTACGTGCCAGTTTTTAATCTCTCGCTGCGCAACACTTCAGCCTGATTGGCTCGTCATTCACAGAGTCTCTGTCGTCACTAGCACTGGCTGACGCAGAAGTCTTTTAGGCTCCGCAGCCTCACGGTACTTGAAGTCTGTATTGTGGTTGAAGTGGTGACTTTCCCACCTGCTTCAGAGCTGCTAGACTACATTTCCCAGGAGGCTAGGGAACAGCCGGCGGCGTGGAGGCTGGCGTCTAGTACAGTCATCCAAGCCTGTTCGGCGGGAGTGTAATGGCCAGAGAGATGACGATCTTAGGTCAGTACGCCGGGGCTCCCTGTCGTTAGGGCAGTCGTCCGGGTGGTCTGAGGAGGCCACGGTCGCCAGGGATAGTCGTGTCACCTTCTGGATCTAGCGTCCGCATCAGGAGGAATGCCAGAAAAGTGTCTTTAGAGGCGGTTTGTTTCTGTTCGCGGCCGGGGTTGGGGGTAGGCGCCTCCGAACGGGGTCCTTGTTAGGACCTCGGGTTGGGGATGCCATTTTACCAGTGACTAATCCAACCTCAGGTTGGGATTGTTGGCTGCCTCCGGGCCTTTAGGGGTGCTGCGAGGATGTGCACTCACCTCCAGGACTCCTGGTGGAGGAAGGGGTCCCTCTGCATCCCGAGCTCCGGACTCTGGGGGGTGCTGAGGTCTGGTGGTCGGAGGGACGTAGGCCGCATTGATGGCTAACCCCACGATCCAGTTCGGAAGTGTGCCTTCTCCTGCCTGAACCGTGATGAAATGGTTCTGAAACGGGCTCGTGGATGGAACCGAAGAGTGGGAGTTAAAGATTGGTTTTTCATTGGTTTTTCATTTCTCTGAGTCAGGTCTTGATGCAGATCCGCTAACAATGCAGATGATCAGCTAACCATTTCTAACGCTGTCTTACACGTTGAGGTTTGGGGTGGCAAGTAACGGTAGTGTAAGTAGGAATAGAACAAAGTCTTTCGGAAACCAAATAAGATTGGTCCTAAATTCAGAGCTCTGCCTTTCTTCATTGTTTACAGTGTGCATCCCATTGGTTCAGATTCGCTTGTTTTTTCTGTACGTGGTTGCTGCTCATCTGCTTTAGCTGGTGTAGAATAATGGACAACATGTGCCTTTAAGGAGCTTGATGCCCTTATGACAGCAAAGTTATCCACTTTGATAGTTTTCCTCTAAGTATTACCTCTCCATTCTTCATTAATCTTCAAATACATAGAACATCTAGGTTGTGTTCTGGAGGGACAGTTTAACGTCTCAACAACTTTTAAAACTAGTTGTATCCATTTTATCCCTTTTAATAGTAGAAGGCTGTAGAGGATAAAGAGTTTTAACCTTATAATGACAAAGTCTTTGCTGGGAGAATTGCAATAATGGAATTTCATTTTAGTAATGAAAATTATAATCCTTCATAAAGCTTTAAAATCTCCATACTAATTGATCTAGAAAATTGGATCCTGCTAGCTTTTGTTTCAGGTATATGATGTTTTTTGTCAGAATCAACACAAGGACTGAAAATTTTGTTTTATTACTATTAGTGAGCTACACAAATGTAGGGCTTTTTTGTTTTTTGGGTTTGTTTTGTTTTGCTTTGCTTCTGTTGTTCCTTTAATTATAAACATTGTATACTATGGGAAAATGTCTAAAAGAAATATTATTGCTCCTATAAAATATTTAGGGACTAAAACTTTTAGTCTTATTTCAAAGAACAATATTAAAAAAAGACCTTTTAATGGTAATTAAATATTGTAGTTCCATAAGATGTATGTTTTATTTTGCTTATTTCCAGGATCAGCTGTTTTGACTCTCCTGTTGGCTGGCTATTTGGCACAACAGTATTTACCATTGCCTACTCCAAAAGTGATTGGTATTGACCTGGGTACCACCTATTGCTCTGTTGGGGTGTTTTATCCTGGCACAGGAAAAGTAAAGGTGATTCCAGATGAAAATGGTCATATCAGTATACCCAGCATGGTGTCCTTTACTGATAATGATGTGTATGTGGGATATGAAAGCTTAGAGCTGGCGGATTCAAATCCTCAAAATACAATATATGATGCCAAAAGATTCATTGGTAAGATTTTCACCCCAGAAGAGCTGGAGGCTGAAATTGGCAGATACCCATTTAAGGTAAGATTATCTGAAGTCTGTATTAATGTACTTTCCTTGTACACTTCCAATTTATGTGTTGGTTTCACACTGCAATCATTATATCTTAAGTAGCTTAATCTTTATGGAAGTTGTATTGTCTCAGGGAATACCATTGCAGCTCCAAGGTGAAGTAATCCAGTGCCTTCCCATGACAATCAAAGACTTAGGTCTCAGTAACTGTATTCCGGCTTTTTCATCCTCAGAATATCTGCTTAGCAATTTCAAATAATAGGAAGGATGTTGAAGTTCTATGTACAACTCTGTGTATGTGTATGTACATAGTATTTACACATAAAAAGATCTGATTACTAGATATGTTTTTTCTGACTAAATTTGACAATATTTCAATTAGTAGGATCACATCAGTATCTTAATTTTCGTTATTAGTGGTACATTGATAAGACTTGGATAATTTATTTTAAAGTTAATTCAGTTTTTACTTACTGTGTTCCTCCATTAAGAAAGATATTAAGTGCTCATTTGACAGCACATATACTAAAATTGGAACAATACAGAGAAGATTAGCATGGCCCCATTGCAAGGATGACACACTAATTCATGAAGTGCTCCATATTTTTTTAATGTACTATGTGATTTTTTTTTGTTTCTTTGTATGTTCTTTCTCCATGGTACAATCCCTGTTATCACTGTATTTGATTCCAGTGTCCTGCATCTTGTATATACATTTTTCTAATTTGGGGAGGGAAAGGGAAATAAAAAACACGGAAATAAGGATTCAGGATGACCCATTGTAATAACGAAATGTACAAGACAGTATGTTGAAAACAAACTTTAAAACTTTGTGGGGTGGGGAGAGTTGGGGAGGTGAGGAAGGAAGGGATGGTACAGGAAAAACAGAGGAGAGTGTAACAATGCTCAATAGGAGATGGACTCATTACCTTGCTTATGTAACTGTAACCCCTCTGTACAGTATTTTTACAATAAAAAATACATATTAAAAAATGATATACCACTAAAAAAATAAAGATATTAAGCCAGAGTATGTATTTTCATGAAAGAATGTAAATGTTTTGATTTGTGGATTGAAAAAATGTAGTGAGATAATTGTTTTTAATAGGTATTACAAATGTCTCTCAGGTATATAGTACTTTCAGAAGTATGAGGGGAAAAACATAAAAGGAAGATCCTTGAGTGGAATACGCGATTGAGCAGTAGTTATTCCTTTTGCATTAATCGTACTCTGATTTTGCTTTCTGCATTTCTACTTCAATGAAGTTACCCACAGTCAACTACTGGCTGAAAATATTAAATAGAAAATTCCAGAAATACAGTTAGTTAACAGATTTTAAATCGCACGCCACTCTGAATAGCATAATGCAATTTTGCACCATCCTATCCCATCCCACCAAGTGCATGCAGTTTACCTAATGTATATGCTGCCCGCATGCTAATCAGTCCATATCCTTCTTGCTTATGAGATTCACTCTTGAAGTTTGCTAGTGCTTATGTTCAAGAAACCTTTATTTTATGTTTTAATAACCCCAGAGCCCAACAGTAGTGATAATAGTGATTTGGATATGCCAAAGAGAAGCTGCAAAGTGTTTATTTCAGGGAAAATGCATCCAGTAGGGGTTTTAGAACATGGTCCTCTTAGAAATAGGGGGGAGTCTCCTGTATTCATCATTTATTCTCTCATTAAATAAATAGTGAGAATATCCTACATTCCAAGTATTTGCTTCATGATGGATTTTATACTGAAAACTGTGGATTTATGTTTTTTACAATGTAATGTTTAATCAGATCTAATTTTGACAACTATATTGTATAGATTATAGATTATAGTAAATTTTATAACATTGCAAAGGTTGAGGTTTATAATTTAGGTTAATATTTCTCAAGTTTTTGAGTAGAGTAGGTATGTATGTGTAAGTATATATATATGTATGTATGGAAGAACATACACACTTTATACCCCCCTTTTTTGTTGCTGTTTTCAATTCTTACAGGTTTTACACAAAAATGGGATGGCAGAATTTTCTGTGACAAGTAATGAAACCATCACCGTTTCCCCAGAGTATATTGGCTCCCGACTGTTACTGAAATTAAAGGAGATGGCAGAGGATTATCTTGGGATGCAAGTTGCCAATGCTGTCATTTCTGTACCAGCAGAGTTTGACCTGAAACAGAGAAATTCGACAATTGAGGCTGCCAACCTTGCAGGTAACAGCACCAACATTTTGTTAAAGCTTGAAAATCTTTACAAGTAAGATTCAGTGCTGTGTAAATTATGGAACTGTAGGAACATAATCAAATTTCAAAAGAGAGAGGCAAATTAGGTTATTTTGGAGTTTTGTAAAGGATAATTATATTAGCTTTATAGCATAATATAAAATGTTTCTTTAGAACAAGCATCAGATAGGCATATGACACATTCTCAAAGAACTGGGATTCATCTAGTGAGGAATTCTTTTTTCAAATTTTCCTTAATGTTAGGGTTATTTTTTCAAAAAAATCTGAGGTGAAACAATTCTTTGAATACTTTGAAATATTGAGTGCCTTAGCAAATAAAATAGATAAAATCATCTTTTATGTGAACAAGAGGGAAACAGAATAATATAAACTATGAGATTATCACAGAGCTTCTTAACTTTAGTTTTAGTGATATTTGGGGTTGGATACAGAATATTTAGCAATATCCATAGCCTATACTCACTAGTTATTAGCTGCATTCTCTCCCACCGAGTGATGACAGTCAAATGATTCATTGCCATGTTTCCTGGAGATAGAATTCCCCATGCTTAAGAATCAGTGATAAAGTGTGTATCAGAAAGTAACATGCTGTCAAGGAAAGAACAGGAGACAGGACCCAGGTGATGGTCAGAGAATGAGGGGCTTGCAGGTTTGTAATGATCTTGTTGAGTATCTCCTTGAAAACATGACATTTAAAATGAGTTGAAGGAAGTGAGCTCTTACCCATGAATACACATGTAGGAAACAACCAATGCCACACTCATTAAGTGGCCATTTGATGGTAAGAAGATAGAGAATTGGCCAGTGCAGCCAAAACATAGAAATGAAATTGGAGAGCTAAAATGAAGGTGTTATATTTATAAGAATTCTTCAGAGTTGGAATGTTCTATTGCTATGAAATATAATGCCATATTACTTTGCAAGCTACTCTTTTAATGTGAAAGTTAATCTAAAGCAGAACTTTTGTTCAGGGACTAGCCTTTTGCCTATTCAAGATAAGATAAAAATTTCTTATTCCCATAACAATTATATATTGTTTCTCCTATGTTCCTCAGTTGAATATGGATACAAAAATGATGATATTTTTGAAAATATGAATTAATAAAGTATACTTATTTTACTAAATCTGGAGTTTTATTATATAATACTCTTGGAGTAATTGTAATGATATCATTTAGAAAATCCTTGACTGGAGCTAGGAAGGTGGCTCAGTGGTAGAGTGCTTGCCCTGCATGCATGAGGCCCTGGGTTCAATTCCTCAGTACCACATAAGCAGGAAAAGCCAGAAGTGGTGCTGTGGCTCAAGTGGCAGAGCACTAGCCTTGAGCTGAAGAGCCAGAGTTCAGGCTCCATGACCAACAAAATAAAAAAAGAAAGAAAGAATGAAAGAAAAAAGAAAATCCTTGACTGTTCTAATTTTTATTCAACAGTACTCATATCATAGAAGAAATAAGCATGCTATAAAGTTGAATGGGGAGGAATTTTCATGGATTGTTCTTTATTCCCACACATCTAGGACTAAAGATCCTGAGGGTAATAAACGAGCCCACAGCAGCAGCGATGGCATATGGTCTCCACAAATCTGATGTCTTCCATGTCTTGGTTATAGACTTGGGTGGAGGAACCCTAGATGTGTCATTACTGAACAAACAAGGAGGAATGTTTCTTACGCGAGCCATGTCTGGTAAGAGGGGTACAGAGAGAGATGGATGTTCAAGCAATGGCTTCTTCAACATACCTATCATGTAACAAATTGACTTTCAGAATACTGGACTTTATCTGGAAGTTTTTGGTATATATTATTTGTAATGTTCTCTGTATCTTTATAACAACATTTTTAAGTGTAAAAAAATGGGTGGATAAGTGTATTCCAGTGATGGAAAGTCAGTTTAACAATCAAAAATCTACTAATGAATTTACAATTGCAACATAAAACAGGAAAGCCATAATTAGTTTAGTACTTTCTTTAGATGCAGAAGAATAATCTGATTGAATTCAGTTGCCATTCAGGACAATTATCACTCTGCAAAATGGACGCCTAATAATAGGTATCCACAGTAAACTTAGCATTTATGTCATACTTAGTAATGAAAGACTAAATCTCAGGAGCAAGGAAAGGATGTCCACTATGTTGAAAGTTGTAGACATTGCAATAGAACAAGAAAAAAGAAAGACATAAACATCAACAAACAAATGTTTCTCTACTCATAGATGACATAATTCTTTACTGTAGAAGATTCTAAGGAATCTACAAACCAGCTATTGAAACTCTTAAGTATTGTTGCCATATAAAATAGTAATTCATTCTCCCATCAAAAAGAAAAACCAAAGTAGGCATCATGTCAGTCAAACATTAGCTGTAGGCCTCAAAACCAGTAGAATTTTCTGGTGATGGTGAAGGGAACAGAAAGGAAGAAAAATTTAAATGTTTAGGTAATCAGTTCATTTCATTTGTTTAAGATATTTTAAGGAAATCTAAAATTAGTGTTACCCAACACTAAATTTACTTGAAAACATTTTTTTTTAAGATTTTGCTTAGTTTAATTTAGGTTGAAGAATTAGCCTGTATTGAAAATTGAGCTGTAACATTATAGTGTTGTTGGTGTACTATATATTTTTTTCTTTTACTCAAACTCTTTTTTTTTGTTGGTTGTGGGTCTTGAACTCTGGCCTGGGCACTGTCCCAGAGGTTAGCTCAAGGCTAGTTATCTACTACTTGAGCCACAGTACCACTTTCGATTTTCTGGTGGTTAATTGGAGATAAAGAGTCTCATGGACTTCCTTGCCCGGGCTGGCTTTGAACTGCCATCCTCAGATCTCAGCCTCCTGAGTAGCTAGGATTACAGGTGTGAGCCACCAGCACCCCGCTTCAAACTCTTCTTTTGAGTGAAGATGAATGCTGGGTATTTATATTATATTGTTCTTTTCTGCTGGACTCATTTACCCTTTATGAAAATAAGTATCTAGTAGTACTTTTTAATTACAGAATGCAGTTTCTCCTATTGAGAGTGGTGATATTTACTGTTTCTAAATTCAGTCTCATGTTACAATAATTAGTTGATAACACTTCCTTTCATGTCATTCAAAAGTGTTGCTTCCTCTGTGTACTGTTTTTGTGAAGCTTTTTGTTTTGTATTTTCCCTCTCTTTCAGAGTTCTAAACTCAGGGCCTGTGCTGCTAGGCAAATGCTATACAACTTGAGCCACATTTCTAGCCCTTTTTGCTTTTAGTTATTTTCCCATACAGTCATACGTGTTTGGCCCGGGCTGGCCTTAGACTGTGATCTTTTACCTCCATCATCCACATTGTTGGGGTTGGATGTGTGTACCCCTACTCCCAGCTTCTTCTTTGACATTAGGTCTAACAGTTTTTCCCCAAACTACCCTGTCTCTGTCTACTAAGTACCTGGTGTACTCTTATGTACACTGCTTTAAATCAGTATATCTATGAATAAAAACATATTAAACAAGGGAATTTTTATTCTTAGAATATATTTAGATATTCTTAGAATAATTTTGTATGTACAAAAATATATACATACAGACACATTTATTTATCTACAAGTATAATTCAGACTCTTTTATTGTCCACTCAGGAAACAATAAACTTGGAGGACAAGACTTCAATCAAAGGCTGCTTCAGTACTTACATAAGCAGATCTATCAGACGTATGGCTTCATCCCCTCTAGGAAAGAGGAAATCCACAGATTAAGTCAAGCTGTGGAAATGGTCAAATTAAATCTGACTCTTCAACAGTCTGCCAAGATGTCAGTATTACTAACGGTGGAAGAAAAGGACCAAAAGGAACCCCAGCTTAGTGACACTGAGCCGCCCCAGGCTCTCCTTACCCCAGCGGACGGACACAATGCTAAACTGCTTACTCCTGGCCTTTCTAAAAAGGAGCATGGGAAAAGTCAGGTCTTGTTTGAAACAGAAATATCGCGGAAGCTCTTTGATACCCTTAATGAAGATCTCTTTCAGAAAATACTTGTGCCAATCCGACAAGTGTTAAAGGAAGGCCACCTGGACAGGACTGAGATTGATGAGGTGGTTTTGGTTGGGGGCTCTACTCGTATTCCGCGAATCCGCCAACTCATTAAGGAGTTCTTTGGGAAGGATCCCAACACATCCGTAGACCCCGACCTGGCCGTGGTGACAGGAGTGGCCATCCAAGCAGGGATTGATGGAGGCTCTTGGCCGCTCCAAGTCAGTGCTTTAGAAATTCCCAATAAGCATTTACAAAAAACCAACTTCAACTAAATGCAGAAGGAATGGTGATCATTTGTTATCTTTTCTGATCATCTCTTCCTGTTATTGACCACCTCTGCCCAAAATGCAAGGGTTTCACAGATTTACTTAGAAAGCAACCTTTCCATACAGGAGAATTTTGGCTAATATTTTGATTGAGAATTGAATGTGACCGAATTGATTCTCTTTAATCTTGGAGAAGTGTCATTGTAACAAATACTTATCAAGTAATTAAGAGTTGACTCAAAATTCTTACCTAGGGAGCACTGGTGGCTATATTTTCTAGATTTTGGAAGAAGGTAACCATATGTGCTTAACATGTTCTGTAAACCCTAAAGAGTGCCAATGATAAGGTTCTCCATTCTTACTTAATTGTATTAGTAAGAGCTGGTAATGTGACCTGTACTTGTAGGACAGTGTTGATGTGATGTATTTACATTGGCTGGGAGAGAGCAGTATTAAGCTGCATATCCAAGACTCAGTAACTGCCATGTTACAAAGTTAATGTGACAAATTCAGTATCGGATTACATGATGCATTCCTGTAGTCTACATTCTCCAGATTAATTTATTTCAGTAGATCAGTTTATTCTGTTTCTAAGATAGCTATTAATTTATTCAAATTTCTCTATGCCAGCTAGTGGAAACCCTAATTTGTATTACAGTTCCTTCATCTCCTGTGCATCATTCTTTGCTTGGATTTCCATAGTTCTGTCTAGTTAGAAAACAGTGGGGGAATATTAATTACATTTAATGTGTTAATGTCATATAAAAGCCATTGCAATTTTGTTATCCATAACCTTTGCAACATTAGTTACCTAATATTTTTGTTTTGTGTTTTGTTTTTGTTTTTGCCAGTCCTGGGGCTTGAACTTAGGGCCTGGGCACTGTCCCTGAGCTTCTTTAGGTCAAGACTAGTACTCTTCCACTTGAGCCACAGCGACACTTCTGGCCTTTTCTGTTTATGTGGTACTGAGGCTCAAACCCAGGGCTTCATGCATTCTAGGCAAGCACTCTACCACTAAGCCACATTCTTAGCCCTAATTACCTACTGTTTTTATTTCTTTAGTTCTGGAAAAAAATAACTGTTTAAGCTTCCAGATGTTATTTGATTGAGCTTTACTAAAAGATTTTTAATCGTATTTGATTTTGAATGAAGAAAATGTGCTCTACTGTTAAGAGCTCTATTATTTCATTATTGTTTTAAAATAGTTACAATCAGATTATTTTCAGCCATAAAGTTAGCATGTTGTAAAAATAACATCTTTGTGAAGATTGGAAATAAATATAATGTGGGACTGGCAATGTGGAAACATTTCCCAGAGGTAAGTGACCTATTTGTTTTTCTTTTTTACCTCTAAGAGAAGCCACAAGGACCAAGAAACAAAATATAGTCAGTTTCTGTGATGCTCATATTATTTGAAGATACATGGATTTTTTTCTTTTATAGAGACATGCTTCATTAATATTCAAAAACTATCTTGTTAACGTTTTTGTTAATATAACGTGTATCTTTATCCAGTGTTGGATAAAGGCTGTTAAATTTCCAATCAGTGAAAGAGAGCTAAGTAAACTTATTTCAACATAAAACATTTCAGCTTCTCATAGTATGATGCTGAATAGTATTGTTTTAATCTAAAAAGGAAAATGTAAAAATGTTTCTCAGCAGTAAAATTGCTGTCAAATCTCAATCAAATACATTTTGTGTACAGAAAATGTCTGTAGTAGATTGATAGAAAAGGTAGGAACTATTTTATTTTAGAACGAATGGAGAAATGCCAAAGATGACTCCTTCACTGCATTATGAAGATATTCATGTGCTCTCTTAGATTTTGTATAATTCTTTATTAATAGATTTAAAAATTTAAAAAGTATCTATAAGCAAAAAGTGTTGAATTATCTCAGAATCTCTACATACAGTATCAGCTTTAATATGAAGCATTTTAAGATCTTACAAAAAAACTTGACTTAGTCAGGTATTTTTGGTGTGGTTCAAGATTGTCTGTTAACTATTTGGCACCTTTTAAAAGAAGATGTTTTGTAAAACATGGCAGCTAAACATACAAACATTGGAAATTAAATTTGTGTCAAAAATAGAATGGCAGTGTTGGAATTTTGTGGCAGTGGTTTAGCATATTCTCTAATATAGCTACACCTTTTTTTTTTAAATGAGGGAATTTCTATTGTCACTAATTCTTTAGGGACATACATATATATATGTCTTATCATCAATGTAGTTTATATATAAAATAAGAATATCCTAAAAAAGATCATTTATGAATATCATTCTGGTTAGTTTTCATAAAACAAGCTTTTTAGTTATACATTGGCTAGTAGTCTTTGGCTAGTAGTTGTCTTTTACGATTAGACTATGTGAATGAGTAATTTATTTTTGTTTCAGGAATGTTTTGGTACTGTTTTCACTCACACCACTCATGTAACAAAAGACCTAACTGTGCATAATATGTACTGACAATTTGTTATTGTGCAGAACGATTGTGCCTCTGAAATTTGTGTATGCAGTCATTCACATTATAATGCAAATAAATACCATTTTACAGTTTGCTTTAAAAACTGAACACCTTATTTTCCATTGAAAACTTAGAGTACACATTTTTTTAAATTATTATTTATTTATTGTAAAGGTGATTGCAGTGGGATTACAGTTACATAGGTCAGGTAATGACTATATTCCTTCCTTCCAGTGTCTCCTTCCCTCACTCTCTCCTAGTCCCTCCCTCCTAGCTCCACTCAAAAGTTACATCGTTCACTTTCTTCAGTGTCCAGTGAGTTCTACTGCTATGATTTTTCACCCTTTTCCCCTGGAGTTCTATTACCTGCTCCCCCCCCCCATAGACCCCTCGAATACACCATATAGAAAGAAAAAAGTATACCTTTCTAGTGTGGATAAAATACAAGGTGAGAATAGAGCTGACTGAATACTTGCCCAAACCTCTCTAGATACTGCTTACTTCTACAAGTGTACATTGCCTGCATCCTGACTGGAGCTTCTGATACATTTTTTTACATACTTCACTAGTTGAGAAGAGGCAGTTCCTGCACCACACTAACAGTATCTTTAGAATTCCTAGTAACAACTCATGGCTTGTGCCTTTAGTGATAAAAGCTAGTAACTAATTTGATCTGTATAGTTATATAACACTAAAATCATCCTCTGGTTCATACATACTTTTGAGTTTGTATTAAAGTTTATGAAATTCTTTTGAGCAAAAGCTACAATATATACTTTTTCCTTTTAAAAAATCCCTTTGATTATTGTCTTAAAATGAACCTTTAAAGACAATAGACTTGATCCCTCTTTGACTATTTCATAGGATTTCTTCATAGCTATTTAAAACACCCTTTTGAAGGATTCAACTCAGTGAGCAATAATAGTGACATTTTTATTATCTACAGACCTTGAGTGAGGCAACCTTTCATGTTGCTCCTGTAATTGAAACAGGATCTCAGTCATTAATTCTAATTAAACCTTGGCATGGTTGGAAAGTCTTGCATATAAATATATGTAGGGTTACTTTTAGAATATACATGCATATTTTTTGGAGTGGCAATATCCCTTTAAAAATTGCCAGCTTTCAGCTATAGACATGTAACAATTCTTAGAAGTAAATTAACATGCTAGGTGGAAACACAGGCCCTTTTAAAACTGTTTGAATTATACAGATATCTTTCCCTGCATTACTTTTTTGTTGGAAGACATGTGAAGCTGCACCTCTGTTGTTTATACTTGGTTCTTTGTTTTTCTTAATTTTTTATTTCTTAATTATTTTATTTTCATGTGACTTTTAGTATGTGATTAGACATTTAGTCAAATTGTCCTTGTACTTTCACTTCTGGCCACACACTTGAAAAGGAACCAATTTTTCTTCCTACCTATAGCAACTAAAAGAAATCAGACAAAATATATGAAGAAAATAGTTTTCAAGACTGTATGAAGCATAAGCAACAATAATTGGTGTCTGTTAGATCTATAAAACCAATGCTATTACCTCCATAGGTCACACACTCCAAAATACTTTGTTACCTAAAAAATGTTGCACAGATACTCAGCAGTGTTGTTTGGAGAGAATAATGACTGAAGTCATCTCAATATGCATGTCTAGTTCCTGTTGCCCTCCAATGTCACACATTGCCAGTCATGACCTATTTTACATTCATGCTATTCATTCTTACAGTGTATTAACACTCATGATATAATGACAGACTATTGTCTGAGAAACTGATTTTTAAGCTCCAAGTAGTCATTTTATAAATAAAAACTAGGTAACCCTGGTCACATAGTAGACAACAAAAGAAGCCAATCAGCTTTTTAAAATTACTTGTTTCATGAAACTTACCTTTTCATCATGAATGGATTCAGTAGATATTTACTCAATATTACAAACACCAGAGATTGTGAAGCCAGGATGTTTCAAATAGCATACAGCCTTAATTGGAGGAGATTTTAGGGTTTTATAGTTAAGGCAATTTTCACAAATACCTTCAGTAATTGAAGCAAGTCTTGTACATACAATTCATCTTGAAGGATAAATAACTGAAATTTGTATGCTTCATTTTTTTTTCCAGTCCTGGGACTTGAACTCAGGGCCTGGGCACTGTCTAAGGTTCTTTTGCTAAAGTCTAGCACTCTTCCATTTGAGCCACTGTGCCACTTCTGGCTTTTTCTGTTTATGTGGTACTGAGGAATCAAACCCAGGGCTTCATGCATGCTAGACAAGCACTCTACCACTAAGCCACATTCCCAGCTCTGTACGCTTCAGATTTGAAAAGTGATTCAAACATATACCCTCTATTGCATAAACACGTGTAATGAAAGATTCCTCTAAAATATTGTTAGTGTTACAAACCAGCATTCTACTCATGGCTATATAGCAGCTGATGCACACGTCACTGAGAGACATACAGACCAAAAGTGGATATTCCAGGGAAATGCTGTTTTTATATCCAGGCAAACCACAAATACTGTAACACATTATTTTAAAATAAATCAGTTTATAAATTTCATTTAATACCAAAATGCTTTATTAACAAAAAGTAACTAAAGAAAATATTTTCAGCTGATTACTCCATCATTTCATAAGTTGTATAAAAGCTGAACACACCCCGGATACACACACACACACACACACACACACACACACACACACACACACGTACATACATTATGTTGCTCTTAAATGCATGCTTACCATTCTACAAACATTTGTTGAGTATCAATGTATGAAAGTCTTAAAACTAAAACTCTATGATTCAAAGATGATAAAGCAATTGGGGTCATTTGCAGCGTAGGGATGACCTAATTCAGAATAAAATGGAAATTATATTCCAGTATTCTAGTACAGCAACAAGAATGGAAAGTATATTCCAGTATTCTAGTACAGCAACAAGAATGGAAAGTATTTTTTAAAAATTAAAAAAAAATAAATCTTAAAAACTTTTCAAGAAGAAGAAGAGAAAGAAGGAAAAAGTGGAGGAGAAGATCTGAGTACTTGCCTAGGAATAGCTTTTTTTCTAGCAAGGGAAACAGACTTAAAAAAATACCAAGGAATATGATTGCTATAATGTGAGCAACTAAGACAAATGTGAGCACAGAAAAGATACATGTTCAACAGACCAGTGTGAAGAGGAAAATAAAGTACACTTCAGTAAGGAAGTTACTCCAGAGACATGAAAAGGAAAAATGTCATTTAGCACTTTAAGCAATACGGAGAAAGCATGCAGAAATGGAAGTGAGAAAACAGAACAGCACAGGATGCCTTAAAACCTCAGGTGTCTTGGGATTCATGCCAACTCATAGGGGCTTGTCCTGTTGCATTTCTCTCCATCACTATTTTTTTTAAATGATCTTGCACTACAGCTG